CAGGAAGTCACAAATGGCCAAAATGTAGAGAATAAGAGTCTACAAAGTATAGGTTCTTGGACAGGATTCCTATACTAAAATCCACCCACCTAGGCATCAGAGACCACTGCAGAAGAGGCGGGGTGGAAAGATTTAAGAGCCAGGGAGGAGATACATGACCATACGGAAACAGTCCTACAGGCTTCCTGGGACTCTTCTCATATGAATCTACATCAATGGTGTCAGCATGCACAAGACCCCTACAAACTCAACCAGACAGAATCCCAGCACAGAACTGTGGAAATGGACAGCATGCCCCAATCTTAGTCAAAGAATTATTGGCAGCTGATTACTGCTGGGTGAAGAAGAGTTGATGTTCTTAAAGGGAAGGACTCTAGATAGGCTTACTAGACTCAGTGGATGAACTTGTACTGACGGACATCTGGGGACACTCACTTGACATAATAGGCCTTAACACAAATGAGAGAATGCATGAATTCCAGTGGGGGAGTGTTAGGAGGGGGTCAATGAGGAAGGAGGGTATAAAGATGATTAGGATGCTCTGTATGAAATATACAAAAATTCAATAAAATAATTTTTTAAATTTACTAAAGAGAAAAAAAGTATCCAATTTTCTACCATCTTTCAAACCTACAATCCCCAATTTTTTCCAAGAAGGAATTAGAAAGTAGCATTGTCTAGTGAGTGTAATGTTCACAGCTAAAAGGAGTTGAATTCTCCCCATCCTTTTATTGGAGAAAAAATAAAAATTAAAATAAAAAATAAAACACAGAATTCCAGACATTATGGTAAGTATTTTAAATACTTCACAATTGTTGGCAAGCCATAAAGTAGAACTCACTTAATTTTGATATTTGAATTCACTCTACCTTGATACTCTTTCCTCTGTACCTTGAGGAAAGGGGGTAAAAGTCAAAACACCATGATTTTCCTCTTCACTGCAATCAAGAAGGGGCCAGGAGGGAGTTGTTGTTTTTCTCTGCTAAGCGGTATGGCCTGAGCCCATACTAAAGTAATAGAAAGTAGAGGTTCCAGCTCAGTGGCAGAGTGTTTGCCTAACATGCTCAAAGCTCTAGATTCAATACTCAGCACATATATAAATATAAATACATATTTAAAATTAGAAAAGTAACAGAAATGAACAAAGCAGGCTGTAGCTGGTGTTGTCTTGAGCACAACACTGAAGCAAATTACTGTCCCATAAACAGATTAGTCCAACCTTTATCCACAGAGCTATCTCACTCCTAGTAAGTATTTTAAGATAAGCAAAAACCCACAAGATGAAATCAAATTACATATGTCATATAACTCACTAATTGGTCATTAGACTATTTTGTATCAATAAATCAGATTCCCTGAGTATAAAGTAGCTTTCTCCCATCCATCTATGAGGTAACATGGTTTTTTGTTGTTGAGTTTGGATGAGTTATCTTACTTGTTAGTTGTTGTTAACTGAGATACTTATCTTCATCTCCTGAAACTCTTTCAGTATGGTATTTTTCTTCATTTAGAGATATTTTTTCCCTTTCTCCATCATTCTTTCTTCAAAGTTCATGTTTATTATTTCAAGGTGTATGTTTATTATTTCAATTACATTAATCAATGACAGATGTGTGCAGAAAGGCTGTATGCAAAGCAGCATGTTTTAGAAAGGGAACATAACTCTGAAGCATAGAGAACCTTCAAGCCCGAAAAAGGATTTGCACAAATGAGAGTGGGTGAGAAAGCGACATTATCAACAGAAGCCATCTTAACCTCCTTTACCACTATCACATATTGCTGAGGTTTACTGCAAAGCATCAAGGGCTACTCTGATGCCTCAGTTGCTGGCACAGGTCCTAACAATGAACAAATCTCAATTGAATTACCAATGAGAAGGCCACAGAGGGAAGAGCAAGATACAAGAGATTAAAAGTGGTTGGAAAGATGTACCCCGACAGCTGGTTCTTTTAATGTTTAATAGAATTTTCCTGAGGTCAAGGAGAAAAGGAGATTGATATTAAAATCTTATTACTAAAAAAAAAAAAAATCCTCTTAATGTACTACAGAAATGGAAAATTACAAGAATTTTTCTCTCTGGTGATGGTATATGTCTATAATCCCAGCACTAGTAAAGCAGAAGCAAGTGGATCTCTGCAAGTTCTAGGCCTTTTCTACACAGTAAGTCCCAAGCCAGCCAGGCCTATACAGTGAGACCCTTTCTCAAGACACTGCCACTCCCGAAGTTTACATGGCTCCTCTGAGAGGCTCATAACATAGTTATTCTTAATTTAATTATCTATGAAATAAAATTCACAGAGCACTCTGTGAGAAATAAGTATCTTTTAAAATTAATTATTTTTAATTTATGTGTATGCGTGTTTTACCTGTACATATGTACATGCACCATGCATATGCAATACCCTCAGAGACCAGAATAGGGTATCAGATCCCCTACAACAAAAGCTACTGATGGTTGTTAAGACACCATGTGGGTGTTTGGACCTGAATTTATGTCCTCTGCAAGACTAGTCAGTGTTCTTAACCATTAAGCCATCTTTCCAGACCAGGAAACAAGTATTTTGTTCAGGCACACTTCTCAAATGAAACATGAATAAGGTTTAGCCAATATTATGTTTTCTTTCAAAGTTGAATGACTCCTCCCCCTCCCATATTCCTATATATTACAGTTACCATTTTATTTTTATTTTATATGTATGAGTGTATTGCCTGCATGTGTATAAGTGCACCTATGATGTGCAATGCCCACAGAGGTCAGAAGAGGGCATTGGATCCCCTGGAACTCGAGTTATAGATGGATGTTAGCAGCCATGTGGGTGCTGGGAACTGAACTCGGGTCCTCTACAAGAGCATCCAGTATTCTTAACAACTTATGTATCCAGCTTCACACTAACCACATTAACTTTTTTTTTTGGGGGGGGGAGGGTCTTTTTGAGACAGGGTCTCCCTGTAGCCCCAGCTGACCTGGAACTTGCTATTAAGACCAGGCTGGCCTCGAACTCACAGAGATCCACCTGCCTCTGCCTCCCAAGTGCTGGGATTAAAGGCGTGCACCACCATGCCCGGCTCCACATTAACTTAAAAAAAGATTTAAAAAATTTTTATATTATGTGAATGTGTGTGCGTGCCTATATGTATGTATAAGCAACATGTGCATACTGGTGTCTTCAGAGGTCAAAATGAAAGTTTTACATGCCCTGGAACTGGGGCCTGATGTGGGCACTGGGAACCAAATTCAAGTCCTCTGCAAGAGTAGCAAGTTCTCTTAGTCATTGAGCCATCTCTTCAACTCCAATATTTATTTTTTGTTCAACTATGTAAAGATATGTTCTTTGTTCTTCAAAAAGATAGAAGAAATTCATTTCCATTATATTTATATTTCAATTACTTATAAAAGATTTTCACTTGAATTTGCATCATAGTAGCTATAATTGATAGATACAAGTTTAAATATTTAAGTTACTTCCGCAATAATTATTAATATCCATGACTCAGCAATAGCATCTTATGACTATAACTGGAGACCCTGCATCCCCACCAAAAAAGAATTTGAATTTCATTTTGAGTTTAACATACTTAATCACTCCAATCAAATACTTAGGCACCTAATTATGCACAGGAAGATGATCATGGCTCTGTTGTTATTTTGGTGTGGGACAGGGTCTTGCTATGTAAATCCAGAGTCCTGAGATTATAGGCATACACAATCAACTTGGCAGTAGATTATGCTTTTAAAAGAAAGTCTAAATACATAAGAAAATAAGATATTCCACATATTGTGTTATATATACAAATGCTGTATTCAAAAAATTTCCCAGAGAAAAAAATAGATCTCCCCCATTCTTATTTATTCTTAAATGATTGTTTAATAGTAAAGTCAGTTTACACTGGAAGACATGTTGAATGATTTTATTAAAAACCAATTTAAACAATGTAGCTTATGTTTAGCTCTTCAGTTATTTGTTCATTAATCTCTTTAGGAGCTTCCTTCCTTAACACAGTTGTAGTGCAAGAGGTAGCCACCAACTAACTGGCCTTGATTTCTATGGATTTTTTGTGAACGCCCAGATTTCGTTTTTGTCAAATATCTTAAATGCTGTGTGTTTAAACAAGTTTTTCATAACTTGTAACCTTAGTACAAGCTTTCCAAGAATACAAAAGAAACCATTTTTAAAATAAAAATCAAACAAAAGAAAGTTACACGCACTGTAAAGATGCTCTGTGAAAAACATTCTATTCATCAGGTCTGAAATGTCTCCAAAGGGATCGAGAACCACTTGGCTTGGAAACATCAACTGAGTACTCCAACAGACTGGTAAGAGGCCAACAGTGGCAGCCATGAGGGGATCTTTATAGCAGATTAGGAGTGGCCAAGACACCAGGGACTGGGCCTTCTCCTGCCTTCCGTTTCTTGGTAATGCCTTCACCTGCACCATTACACAGTGGTTCAAGTCCTCTGTTCTTTTTTCTTTTCATGCTCTTTGATGAAGACTTCAGTTCTAATAATAGTGGTACTTATGAAGACAACTCACAGATCTGTCTTTTCTGCTACCTTACCTTAACCACTCCCCCTAATCCAACTGCTGATTTAAGTACATCCACCAGGATGTTCCATCATTATCTCACAATCAATATATGCAAAAAACCGAAAAAGCAAAAAAACTCTCCAGGCTTATTTTATTCCAAATGCCAAGTAATTTTCAAATAGACAAAACATATAATTCAATGAAAATGAAATGGCAACCACAGACCTATTTTTAGCAAAATCTTTGAGTACTTCAAATCACCTTTCAATGAGAGAGCAGCATGGGCTGGACATTTCACTCAACCATCTGTGGCAAGTCATAATGAAACCTAAGAAAAGCATTTCCTCTGAGAGTTTTGTAGCCAATCAAGTCTCCAATCTTTTCAACATCAAAAGACACAACTGACATCTACTCCACCCACACGGTTTGTAATGTGCTCTTTTTAAAACCTACACAAAAAGAAATTTGTTTTACCTGTTTAGAACTTCAGTGAGCTTTGCGAAACCAGTATAAGCCAGTTCAAATGCTCCTCTGTGCCTGGACTGTAAAAGGTGTTGTTTAAAGTAATCACCTATTTCTTTTACCTTTAAAAAAATAAAAAAAAAAATTTCAATATATACTTAACTTATACATGCACTATGCGTGCGCACGTGTGTGTGTGTGTGTGTGTGTGTGTGTGTGTGTGTAAAATTTAATTCAGAACTTGTGTTTAGGTATCCATCTAACTTTCATTTATGATGGGACAATGTTTAAGCACTTTTTTGTTGGTGTTATTTTTTGAGACAGGGTCTCATGTAGTTCACGCTGGCCTCAAACTTGCTGTGTAGTCTGGGATGACCACGAATACCTGCTCCTCCTGCCTCTGGTTGAGATTACAGGTAAGTACCAGCACACTTGGTGCAAGCCCTTTTATAAATCATAAATCCTCATAATGAATTCCATGAACTAAGTAGTTATCTGTAGCTCACAAAGGAGAAGCTGGGGTTCAGAGAGGTTAAATATCTAAAGTCACATAGCAAGTAAACAGTAGAGACAGGACATGGAACTAGAAAGCCTTTTTTTTTTTTTTGGTCTTTTTGAGACAGGGTCTCTCTGTAGCCCCGGCTGGAATTAGCTATGTAGACCAGGCTAGCCTCAACTCACAAAGATCTGCCTGCCTCTGCCTCCGAAGTAGGGGGATTAAAGACATGTGCCACCATGCCCACCTCAAGGTCAGCTATCTTAACTGTCATGTTAGAATATCCTGCCTATACCAGAATTTCAAACCTCATATTATGTTCTGTTAGCTTATGTCATTCAACATAAAATCACACAAAGTAACAATACTCACATACATGTTTGAAATAATTATGTTTATCCTTTAAATATTCTGCCTTTACTGTAGTAAAATAGCCATAATAAAATTTATCACTCTAATCAGTTTAGTGTATTTAACAGGAAATACAGTTGAACAATCAACATCATCCATCTAAAAAACTTTTCAGCTGGGTATGGTGGCACACACCTTTAATCCCAACACTTAGGAGGCATAGGCAGCTGGATCTCCATTAAGATTGAGGTCAGCCTTATCTACATAGTGAGTTCCAGGCCAGCTGGGGCTACAGGGAGACCCTGTCTTAAAAAGACCCCCAAAAAAGAACTTTTCATCTTTTCTAAGATGCCATATATACTTAACAATAACTCCCAATATTACCTTTTACAGATACATTAAAGTTAACAGTAAAGTAAGATTTAGTACAAAGGCTATCCTAAAAAGAATAAACAAGTTGCATTTTATATCAAACCAAAGAATCTGCCAGAATGTCAACCCATCACTTCCCAACACATTGTCTTCCTCCAGGTAAGATTAAACAAACACAAAGCACAACCATTTATTTTAAAGACAATATAACTGACAATTGGTTGTCTATGGTTTCTGAAGACAGTGAACTGCAGAACTGGTTAGTCTCATTGGTCTTTGTGTCATTAGATTTGGTAGCTATGCACTTTTGAAAATCCAGCTTTGTATAAACTTGGGACCAAAGCTGTAATCAGCTATCTGTTGATCCATGCATCCACAGATCATAGTATAGTCACTATGCAAGCTACCTTGAAGTACCTCAGGTCTGCTCACCTGGAAATGCCTTCACCTCAGCACAGTGACTAGGTTAGATTCTACATGCATCAGAGACAGTAACATGATAAGCAACAAACAAGTGACTGTGGAAAAGGGTCCCTCTATATTCTGAGGATACTAACAGCCCTTGCCTCATAGGTGGTTCAGTCAAAAAGTTCAGAAGAGGCCAATTATCTATAATCTAATTCAGTTCAATGCTAGTTGTCCTAAACAGAAAAGTTTCTATACTCAAAGTGCATCTGATTATAAAAACATAACAAATAATATATGCAGAGGGAAAAAGGAAATCAGAAACCAACAAAACCACACAAGCAGCATGATGGATTTTTAAAATTCTAACACTTCAATATTTTAGAGCATTATGGTATGTCCTTCTGCTAAAGCTTTCCTATAAAGATCCAATGATATGCCTCATGTCTTGATATTATTCCTTTAATACTTTTTAAAGGCCACACAAGTTGTCAAAAGCCAAATACTAAGCCTTATTTCATCTTCAATATAGGAATTCCAAGGTATATTTTTTAATTACCAAGACTTAAATCTAAATTTAATCCCTCAAATAGATCTGCAGTTCAATAAACCTATCAAATACGGATCAGAAGAACAGCTGTTAGCTGTCACAACCATCATTTCTATCATTAGAGAAATAAGATGTTTCTAGAAAGATAGTTTAGGACAGAGAAAATAAAACAATAGAAAGTCAAGGGACTGGAGAGATGGCTCAGCAGTTAAGAACATTGGTTGTTCTTGCAGAACACCCAGGTTCAAATCCCAGCACCCACATGGCAGCTAACAACTGTTCATAACTCCAGTCCTGGGGATCCAACAGCCTCTTCTGACCTCCGTGGGCATTGCAACACACAGGTATACTTACCCACATGTAGGCAATACATGCATACACATAAAATAAAAATAATAAATTTAAAAAAATAGTAAAAAAGACAGCACTTCTCTTCCTTAGTTAATTCTTTACCCTAAAATGTCACAGATATTAAGAACATAGTTCAAAAAAACATGAGTGTTATTGGCAAAGTGCTTCTCTATAGACTTAGAACAGCACATAATCTCTTCCTTAAGCAAGGATAACATTTTCATTGCTTCCTTTATTCCAACTCCCTTCAAAGGAGTCTAAATCCAAAAAGCATACAATAAAAACAAAGCACTGAGAGCTATGCCTAGTGGATAGTCTTCCGAAGGTGAACCCTCAGTCTAGGTAATCCTGGCCTGTGGAATCAGATTGACAGAATAAGGACAGGAGTGATATACAGGCAATTTTTATTCATTGTTCACATTTAAATCACCAAACTCTCACAGATAAGAGTCAGGCTTGTTACGAATTTTTGTCTTTGTAGATTATATAAAATTATTGTCCAATGTTTCTTTGATATTCTGCCAAAGGTTTTCCCAGCTTACTACTAGGGCAGACAGAGAAGACGAAAATAAGATGTGTGTCCTCAGTAGACTTTCAGTTCAGACTGGCAGAAAAACGAGTGGACTGGTTGGTACCTAAGTGGCTCGACAGTTCCAAGAAATGAAAGACCCTCTGCACTAAAATTAGAAAAGGTTTTATGCTCACATCTTGCACAGGATGTATGTGCTTGGGTAGACCAACATAGAAAGGAATAATTAGTATGAGAAGAGGCTAGAACTAAAGAGCTAACATTAATTAAGTAGCTGCTGCCAACCAGGCGTGGTGGTGCACACCTTTAATCCCGGCACTTGGGAGGCAGAGGCAGGTGGACTTCTGTGAGTTCAAAGCCAGTCTTCTTGTCTACATAATGAGTTCCAGGCTAGCTGTGGCTATATGGAGACCTTGTCTCAAAAAGGACCAAAAAAAACGCCTAACAGACACTTTGTTGGGTCCACAGATACGAGCAGACATAACATACACAGGCTAGTGTTAGAATGACCTAGAGGTTTGGCACTAGAAAACAGTGGAAAATAGGGAAAATACGCGTGAAAGGGAGGGATGAGCCCAATTACTAATGGTGGGAAGAGTGAGTATGAAAGCATACTCTATGAGCAAGCAGCTGGACAGAGAAGCATCCTGATGACACCCTCTCAGTAGATAACCATGCTGAGAATCGAAACAGAAATTTAACATTTTTTGTCACATTTATTTGTGTGTGTGTGTGTACGTGTGTGTACGCATGCGCATGATGCACAGGCCAGAGGACAATTTACAGGAGTCACTCTCTCCTTCTACCATGTACTAGATAGCTTCAGTTGTCAGCTTGACACACCTGAGAAGAGGGAGCCTCAATTGAGGAATTTCCTCTACTGGATTGGCCTGTGAACATGTTTGTGGGGCATTTTCTTGATTACTGAATGATGGGGGAGGGCCCAGTCCACTGTGGATGGTACCACCCCTGGGAAGGTGGTCCTGGGTTGTATAAGAAGGAAGGCTGAGCACAGGCCAGGGGAGCATGCCAATAAGCAGCATTCCTCCATGGCCTATGCTCTAGGTCCTGTCTCTAGGCTTCAACCCTGACTTCCCTCAGTGATGAACTGACCTAGGAGATGTAAAAATAAATAAATAAGCCCTCTCCTCAAGTTAGTTTTAGTCACTGTTTTTATTACACAGTACAAAGTAACTAGGACACACCATGTGGGTCCCAGGGATCAAACTCAGGTCATCAGTCTTGGAGGCAAGTACTTTTACACTGTTATAGCCCAGAACTTTTAAATTTCAATTTTAAAGAAAAAGTCTTCTGAAAAGTGTTTCATTAGATACCACTGAGTTCTTGAAGTTCAAAAGAGCTTTTTTTTGTTGTTGTTGATGTCTTTACAAACTTTTAATATAAAAAACATATTCTCTCAAGATTTTTATTTACTTTTTTCTTTTTTTTTTTGTCTTTTTGAAACGGGGTCTCCTTGTAGCCCCAGCTGTCCTAGAACTCACTATGTAGACCAGGCTGGCCTTGAACTCACAAAGATCCACCTGCCTCTGCCTACCAAGTGCTGGGATTAGAGGTGTGCGCCACCACACCCGGCCTACTGTTATTTTTTAAAGCGACAGAATCTTACTCTGTAGCTCAGACTAGCCTTAAACTCAGTGATCCTTCTGCCTCAGTTTCCTAACTACTGTGATTACAGGAGTCAGCTGTCATACCTAACTCACAGAATGCAAATTTCCACATGGGAAGACAGCTAGAGAGTATCTTCAGGTGTCTATAGCTTACCACCAGACAAAAAAAAGAACTAAATGTTCACATAGGACATAAAACCAAAGGACAAAAGTAAACATACTTATAAAATTTACCTTTTACATAGCTGGAGAGAGAGGGTTCAGTCAATAACGCACTCTGCCCTACAAATGTGAGGCCTCACGTTCAGATCCATAGAACTATATTAAAAATGTTGAGTGCAGTATGTTCTTATAATCCCCAAAATGGAAAGATGAGAGGGTGAGATGGGTACCTTTTTGAAGCCTTCTGGCAAGTTACGTGGCAAAGTTCCAAGCTAATGAGACTCTGTCTCAAAAATGTAGAAGATGCCTAAGAAACAACACCTGAGTTGTCCACTTATCTCCACATGCACCCATAAACAAGCCCGCTATGTATACACGAATTACCTTTTACCTATACAGGTAATACAGTAGCTAAATCAAGGCTAACTCTACTTTTAAATTACCTAAGTCCAAGGACCTAATTACAGGTAGGACATTTTTACAAAGGGTATATGCAGCAGTCACAATCTGGGATTTGTAAGGAACCCAACTGCTATCTTCCTATCACAAGTTAACAAAGCAGCCCTAATCCCTTAAGTGTTTTTAACTGCTGAGCTATCTCTCCAGCCCTGACAGAACTACTTCTTATAACTCTGGGAAAATCAGCTATTAGGAGATTTTAATTTCATTTCAGTTACATGGAATATGTTGCAAAAGTTTACACTCCAGTAAGATAATTAAAGTTTTAAACTATACATTCTCCACTGCAATGATTTCTAACTAAGAGTTTGGATTTCTTCAGAGCCCATATACTGTCCCTAGAGATAATTACAAAGGCAATGGTTTTCTGGTATACAGACATTACCTTACTAGAAAGTTAATTTTTTGCTTTTTATTAAATCAAGAGCAGTCAGTGCTCTTAACCACTGAGCCATCTCTCCAGTCCCCAAATTATTTTTTTAAAGTACATGCCTGTGGGGGGGGGGCGGTACGTGCATGTGTGTGCAGGTGCCTTCAGAGGCCAGAGACATCAGATGCCCTGTAGCTGGAATTACAAGTGGTTGTGAGCCGCCCCACCTGGGTGCTGGGAACCAAACTCATGTCCTCTGCAAGAGCAGTACATACCCTTAACTATTGAGTTATCTTTCCAGTCCCTTCAGCAAATTCTTAACATGAGCCATTTTAGCTGTTGCCCTTCAGACTTGCGTTTTTAAAATGGATTTCTACTTCATATCATTAGTATATTTCTAAGCTCTTTGAGGTCAGAGAACCACATATGATTCCTCTTTCTGTTCCTACAATTACCCACATAGTGAGGCAGTCAATAAACAGGCAACAAAATGGTGTGGTTGTAGGGTCAAGTTCATTGCAAAGGCTAAAAATGGGAACTTTCATTCAGTTACAGTTCAGTGTCCTTATTTATAATTTCTAAGAACTATAGGCAAAATAAATTTTAGGAATCTGAAGCCCTCTTCTGACCTCCATGGCATTGCACAACATGGGTGCACTCACATACATGCAGGCCATACACTCATACACATAAAAATAATGAAATTTTTTTTTAAAAAGACAATTTCTTTATGACTTATGAATATTAATCAATGTAACCCGATACAGAAAAATCTAGCTCCTGTCTATGAAACAGAGAGGGGCTGGGCCAACCCAATCAACCCTAAATATCACTCAAGTAACAACTGAATCTAA